TAAATAAAAAAAAAAGAATGTCCGAGAAATCCAGCGACAATAATTAATTATATAGTTTAGATAGAAGATTGTTAGAATTTGGTTGTACTCGATTCTCTGTTCAAGATGACCGTTTTCGAGGTAGGAACATCTCTATTTGGTGAATACACGTCGACAATCCATTTTGAAAAATAAAATGGCGCTTTCTCAAGGATATGCATAAATATTTCTCGATATACATGTACATATATATCGTTGGAATTAAATGTCGCGTGCATAAAAATATACGATGTGCAGTCAGTTCTTAAAATCGAATGAAAAAAAAAAAAAAAAAAAAAAAAAAGAAACATTTGATCATATAAAAAAAAATGCAATAACTAACATGTTTAAACAATACTTAATTGATTCGTAACAAAAAACACCGACAACCGATATAGAAAACGTTATATAAATTATAAAGTTATCGCGCACTATGTATCGTTGATAACGAACATTGTTTTCCATCTCTTTTCAGCTTATTTGTCACTGTGCATTGAACTCTGTGTGTGTGTGTGTGTGTGTGTGTGTGCGTGCGCGCGCGCGCGCGTGCGTGTGTGTATGCATGTGTATATATGTATGATGCTATAACTTGAAAAAAAGTCAATAATGCGCTCTGTCTCTAAACAAATCTAAAATCTACGAATGAATGATACACCACCATCCTTTTTTTCATGACAATATTACTCGCCGAGAAAAAAAGAAAAAAATGAGAGTAATATTCATCAGTTAAATACAATGTACTATCATAATGCTGAGAAATACATTAATTCTTTTCTTTTTTGCTTCTTTTGTCCCTATATACTTTAAAATTCTTTTTTTTTTTCTTCGCATTTAATCTTAAATCGCTTCTATGAAGTTTGCTTTGATTACTCTAAAAACGAATTAGAAAAATATTTCTTTCCAGATCTGTACTATTTTATCTTAGTAAAATTGAAAGTTAACTAATTTACAAAAACATTCCATTATCTTTTCAGAATTCTAATACAAGCGGAAATGCAATTAATGAAAA